GGTATTTTGGGGTATTTTGAGTCACAAGTGAAGAAAGTTTTAGATGCATTTTGGAAGATACAAAAGAGAATTTGGAGTGTTTCCTTGGAAGATGTTGGGGTCTCATTGGAGCATGTGCATCACTGCAGACATTTCTCTTTTATTAGTAGATTTTGGAGGTGACGGTGTTTGGGCTGGGGATGCTGTGAATGAAAATATGGGTCTTCGGTCTGGTTCGTCCTTGTGTGTCTTCATGTGTATTATTCCATCATGAATGCATGAGTTATTGGGGCTTGGAATGGTTTGTGGGATTTCACAACAGGATGGGGGGACCATTATGGGGTGTTTGGGGAGTGTGTCAGACCCCATGGGAGTTTGTAGGTTTCTTTGAGCCCAGAAGGGAAACAATGGATCCTAAACCTCAGAGGACAGAAGGTTTTCTTCAGGGAGGGCCTGCTGGGGCTGGGTCTGTGGGTACAACTTGAGAGGGGCTGTAAGGGCCCATGACTTAGGGAAAGATTGTTCCAAGAATCAGAGGGCTATCAACACAACAGGGACTTGCAGCACAAAGGCTTGTCCTTGGGAAGATGCAGCTGCCACTTTCGTGTTGCCAGGCCAGCTGTGGTTACTCTGCTGTCCTCTCCCTGTCTGTCCCAAAACATGTGCGCACACACCTACACACACACACACACACACACACTCACAGTGACAAGGGGAGCAGAGGGACAAGTTTTAAACTAAAGGTGGAACAAGGATATTTCTCCAATGAAGAGGACTACTGTGTTCTGGAAGGGGAATTTGGGGACAAGAATGGGATCACTCTTTGGAAATTTAGAGCCCTAGTAATGGCAGGGAGACTCAGAAGCTGAATCAAGGAAAAGCTCTGTTCATCCTTAAACCAGGTGACCTCAAACTCAGCACTTATTAGAATAGAATGCGGTGAGCTAATGGGGTCACATTTAGAGAAAGGATCTTGTCTTTCTGGCCAACACACACCCTACATACACTTCTCCCTTTCTCCATTGTCTTCTCTAGAATGGCAGTGTTGGTGCTTCCCCAGGTAGGTGACTTGAGGAAGAAAAGTGGTTTGTTTGTTGGTGCCTCTCCGGTATCCTCTCCCTTATCTTCCATCTTCCCCTCTACTGTTTGTTCAGACACACAGTTTCTGCTGTTCTTTTGCTGTTGGTTTGCACAATACCAACACCCAATCAGATCAGCATTTGAGGCCGTGAATTTTTAAGCCAATGTCATAGAAAAGTGAGAAATCTTAGACACTGGGAACTTTTCTCCATCAACGGGTCTAGGCAGCCAGGAGGCCTCTCCTCTTTGCTGAGTTTAGGCTCTTTTATTGCCAAAGTGGGAGCGCTCAGCCTCAGGCAGCTACCCCATGGGTCAGCTCACCACGGTTCTAGTTGAGCTTACTCTTGCCCTTCATTCCTGTTGAGGGCAAGGACAGTGGTCTGGGTGAAGGACTCATGGCTCTACCCTCAGCTGCTGCTTCTGGTCTCCTCCCTTCTCATTCATTCCAGGGCAAAGAACTCCTGCACACATCACTCCCCCAAAATGAAGACTGTGCCAGAGGGCGTGCTAGTTTGACTTTGTGTCTTCTCTTGTTCATTCATTTATTCACTACATATGAAGTGCATACTATACTCCAGGCTTTTTTTTTTTCTTTTTGTCTGCATTGGGGATAAAATGGTAAACCAGTGGAATATACTCCCCTACCTCATCCAGGTTGTTTTTAAATGATGGAGACAAACACACCCTTTCAGTTACTTACAGCTGTGCAAGTCAAAATGCTCCAAAGCAAAGGACTGATGTTCATTCTCCCACAGGCCCCCACCTCCTTGCTTTTCCCTGACGTCATCACATCCAACTCTACCTCCTCTGTGTCTGTCCCCATGTGGCTGCTCACAGCAGAAGAAAACATACACTCAAACTGATTGATGTCATTTCAAATTCCTGGCCCTGTTCCTCTTGCATTTCCCTGTTTGTCTATCCATGCCTGTCCTCTAGAGCCCCACAGAAGTCCAACTCATCCTCTTCCATCTTTTTTCTCAAAGACCTTGTTTCCTTTTCATTAAGCCCCTGGAGCAAAGGGAAGCGGTCTTCTCCCTCAGGCCTATCCACCTGCCTCAGGGCCTGTGCTCTCTACTCAGTATTGACCAGGAGTGGTCTGTCCCTGCTCCTGGCTGTTGCTGACTCTGCAGTTGGGCCCCAGTTGCCAGCCCCAGTCACAGTGTCAGGATGGCATGGATCCTTCCTCCACTGCATCATATGTTTTTGCTTTTTGGGATTTATTTTGATCAGTATTCACAAAGGGTGGTGTTGTCTGTCTTACACACAGACACACACCCGGAACCTTTTTATGCACTCTACCATCTTTAAAAGAAAACTTTCTCAATTACTTATGTTTCCCCCATTTACTCTTTTTCTATTCTTCATTTAAGAGCACAATACACTAAAAACTTGTGTATACTCTGTCTTCAATTCTTGCCTCCAATTCTCGTTTGAACTCCATCCAATCAAGCTTTCACATCCACCATTCCTCTGACCTTTTCTTTTCTAGAGTCACCAATGACTCGCTCATTTCTCAATCTAATAATTTATTTCCTCTTCTTATCTGACTTGTCCTGTTTGCAACACATTGCACAATTGATTGCTCTGTCCTCCTTGAGAGACTCATTTTCTTGGCTTTGAGGACATCCCATTAACCTTTAAAAATCTATTTGCTTTAATTTTCTTCTCGCCTCCCATTCACTTCTCAGTTTCCTCTGATGGATTTTCCTGAACTCCCTGGTCTCTGAATTTGGGAGTATCCCAAGGCTTAGCCCTTTAACCTCTTCTCTTCTTTGTCTACACCCACTGCCTTTCCTCCTCATCTCATCTCATGACTTTCAGCACCACCTACATGTCTCCCATTTTCTCCTCTCAAGACCAGATCTCTCCCTTGAAGTCTAGTGTCCTGTTTCTAGATATTTCTGCTGGGACATCTAACAGGCCTCTCCACCTTAATATGTCCAGAACTGATTTCTTGATCTCCCCCAATCACGTTCCCCCAGCAGTTTTCCACATCTTGATTTAGGGTGACCCTGTACTTCTTGGGGCTTAAGATGAACATTTTATCATGTATATAAAATATGTAAGATATTATATTATTTGTAAGTGTTTTAATAATGAGATAAAAATTACATGTTTACTTAAAATAAGTGAGAAAATACATGGTTTCTATAATTCTTTTGAGATATGCAAGAAGAATGTTTGAGGGGCCAGCCCGGTGGCGCAAGTGGTTAAGTGCACGTGCTCCACTGCAGTGGCCCGGGGTTTGCCAGTTCGGATCTCGGGCACGCACTGATGCACTGCTTGGCAAGCCATGCTGTGGCAGTGTCCCATATAAAGTGGAGGAAGAGGGCACGGATGTTAGCCCAGGGCCAGTCTTCCTCAGCAAAAAAAAAAAAAAAAAAAGAGGAGGCTTGGCAGATGTTAGCACAGGGCTGATCTCCTCACAAAAAAAAAAAGAATGTTTGAATACCATGGCCCTTCCTGATCAGCTTCCCCCAGTGCCTCTCTGCCCTCCTCCCCTGCGTGTCTCCTCCTCCTCACCCTGCTCTGGCCACACAAGTTTCCTTCCTTTTCCTGGGGCCAGGGTTGCTGCTGCTTCAGTGTGCTGGCAGAGTCTGTAGCTCTGCCTAGAACTGTCTGGCCCCTCAGATGCAGGTGGCAAACACCCTTCCTCCCCCAGGTCCTTGTTCTTATATCACCTCAGTGGAGCCTTCTCTGACCCCCCTCCTATTTAATTTGTCAGCCACACCGTCACCCTCACTTCTGGTCCATATTGCCTGCTTGGCATGTTTCTGCTCCTTCTCCTTCCATTGTGTGGCTACTGGGGACAAAGCCCCAAGGAGAGAGCAGTGCCAGAAGGTGGGAGATGTCACACCTGTTAGGATGGCAATTAGCAAAAAGACAAGAAATAACAAGAGTTGATGAGGATGTGGAGAAAAGGAAACCCTTGTGCACTGTTGGTGGGAATGTAAATTGGTACAGCCATTATGGAAAACAGTATGGAGGTTCCTCAAAATGTTAAAAATAGAACTATCGTATGATCCAGCAGTCCCACTTCTGTCTGTATATTCAAAGGAGATGAAATTAGTATCTTGAAGCGCTGTCTATACTCCCATGTCTCTATTGCCATTATTCACAACAACCAAGATATGGAAAAAACCTAAATGTCCTTTGACAGATGAATAGATGAATGAATAAAGAAAATGTGGTACATACGTACAATGAAATATTATTCAGCCATAAAAAAGAAGGAAATCCTGTTCTTTGTGACACCATGGATGAACTTGAAGGACGTTAAGCTAAGTGAAATAAGCCAGACAGGGAGAGACAAATACTATATGATCTCGCTTATATGTTGGATCTAAAAAAGTGAAACTCATAGAAACAGAGAGTAGAGTGGTTAGCACTAGGGGCTGAGAAGTGGGGAAAATGGGGAGATGCTGGTCAAAGAGTATAAATTTTCAGTTGTAAAATGATTACATTTTGGGGATCTAATGTACAGCATGGTGACTATAGTTAATAATACTGTATTAGATGCTTAAAAGTTGCTGAGAGAGTAAATCTGTATGTCACCACACAGACACAAAAAATGGTAATTGTGAGGGAATGAATGTGTTAACTTGATTATCATAATTTTTTCATAGTGTGTAGGTACTTCAAATGATCATGTTATGCACCTTAAATATACACAATTTTCATCGATCAATTATGCTTTAATAAAGCTGGAAAAGAAGGTAGGAGGTGTCCTGGGCTTGCCTCCTCTGAGTGGTGCTCAACTTGGACTTCACATTAGATTGCTGAGGCATTTTGCAAATACATCTCCTGTGTCCCCTGACCAGAGATTCTCCTGCCAATAGTTGGGGTGAGGGACAGCCTCACTAATATTTAAAGTGTCCCAGGTGATTCCAGTCTGCGTCCAGCATTGAGCACCAATGCTCTGAGTCCTCCCATTCCTGAGGGGTGAGATCTGGGCTGAGGGTCAGGGGGCTCTGCTCTGCAAGGGATTTGATCAGGGCCAGGTCTGTGACCTGAAGGGAAGTGTCTGGTCCAGCCAAGGTCCCCACTGCTGCAGCATATGTGTGGGATTCACCAGGTGGGGGGTGAGTTCTGAAGAAAGTGGTGGAAAGACTTACTTGTTGGTCTCTGTGTAGGAGTTTACTGTCCCTGAATGCCTCCTATGGCAGTAGCGCAGAGGACCTTTTTTTCCATGTGTTGAGGTCTTCCCTGTGTGTGGTTATGACACAGGAAGGGGGTGTGTTGATTCTAACCATTAAACAACATATTTTCAGCTTTCAAGAGCTCTAAAGACTAATGTTGCTTGAGGAAGAAGCCCAGAAGAGGAAAGAAGGAGGAGTCAGAAATGGATCTTTCTCAGGTAAAGTCATGTTCTTGCTTGATTGTTCTGTCCTTCCTGAAATGCCGTTCTTTGGACTTGCTAATCTTCTGTGACTCTGAAGTATCCTGCCTGACACCTGTTTCCTCACATTCACTCGGGGCCTTCCCTCAGTCCTTCTCATCTCCACTTAGATTCCATCTCACTATGACCCAGTGACATGGAACTTGTGAAGAGGCTCCACTGGGCATCGTCCTGGGCAGAGCTTCACGCCCATGGATTGGAGATGGGTGTGGGCCCTGTGGTGTCAGTGCAGTTGGGCAGCAGGACATGTTTAAGGGCCCCATCTGGATGCGCTGATAGCTCTCTGTAGACCAGGATGAAATAAGTTGCACATGGAAGTCATGTATTAATGTGCACAAATATCTAGTGAATTCTGGAAAAGGAGACCAATTAGGGGAAATATGTTCTGCCTGTTTTTATAATACATTTGAAGGTAAATGAGTGAGTCACTGACTTCAAAATCTTAATGATTGGGGAAGCAAAGTTCTGAAACAGACATAAGTGATAGTGGATCTTTTATTCCATCATCGATTTTAGAATACAAAATCAACCTAAATGTCTAACAGTTGGAGACTCTTTAAATCATTTTCATCACATCTATTTCTGGGAGGTTGCCTTTTCACTCTGTTGATTGTGTCCTTTGACATACAGAAGTTTTCACATTTGATGCAGGTAAGGTTCCAGGCTCATTCTTTTGCATGTAGATACCCAGTTTTCCCAGCACCATTTGTTGAAGAGACTGTCCTTTCCCCATTGTGTAGTCTTGGCACCCTTATCAAAAATCATTTGAGATATATGCAAGAGTTTATTTCTGAGCATTCTATTCTGTCCATTGGTTTATGTATGTGTTTATGCCAGTACCACACCATCTCGATCACTCTTGCCGTGTAATATGTATTGAAATCTAAAAAAGTGAGGCCTCCAACTTTCTTCTTGTTTTTCAAGAGTGTTTTGGCTATTTGGGGTCCCTTGAGATTCTATATAAAGTTTAGCATTTTTTTTCTATTTCTGCAAAAATTGCCATTGGGATTTTGTTACAGATTCCATTGAATCTATAGAAAACTTTGGATAGTATGGGCATTTTAACAATGTTAAGTATTTCAGTCCATGAATATGGGATGTCTTTCTAGTTATTTGTGTCTTTTTAAATTTCTTTTAGCAATGTTTTGTAGTTTTCGGTGTACAAGTCTTTCACCTTCTTGGCTAAGTTCATTCCTAAGTATTTCATCCCTTTTGATGCTGTATTAAATAGGATTATTTTCTTAATTTCCTTTTTAGACTGTTCATTGTTAGAAGTATATAGAAATGCAACTGATTTTTGTGTGCCGATTTTGTATCCTGCAACTTTCTAAAGTTGTGTTTTCGTTGTAACAGTTGTTTTGTGTTTCTACATATAAGATCTTTCATCTGCGAAAAAGATAATTTTACTTCTTTTACAATTTGGGTAACTTTTATTTCTTTTTCTTGTCTAATTGCTTTGGCTAGGAGAGTGTGCCTGCTTGCCTTCTTCCTTGCAGGAAGAACGATCCTGCTTGCAGGATTAGTCTATATATATAATCCTATAAATGTTATATAATCCTATATAATCCTATAAATGTTTGGTGGAATTCTGCAGTGAAGCCATCAGGTCCTGGGTTTTTCTGTGTTGGAGATATTTGATTACTGCTTGAATCTCCTCTCCAGTTATAATTCTGTTCCCATATTTTATTTCTTTATGATTAGGTCTTAGTGGGTTGTATGTTTCTAGGAATTTACCTGTATCTTCTACATAATGTAATTTGTTGGCATAGTACTCTCTTAAAATCCTTTTTTAAAATTTCTATATCATAGTACTTTCTTATAGTTCATAAAATTTCTGTAACATCAGTTGCAGTATCTCCTCTTTCATATCTGATTTCAGTTATTTGAGTTTTCTCTTTTTCTTAGTCTAGCTTAGGGTTTTTCAATTTGTTAATCTTTTCAAAACAACTCTTGGTTTGTTCATTTTATATTGTTTTTCTATTTTCTATTTCATATCTCTGATCTAACCTTTCTTATTTATTTCTTTCCTTCTGCAAAACTTAGGTTTAGTTTGTTCTTCTTTTTCTACTTCCTTGAGATATGAAATAACATTTCTGATTTGAGATCTTTCTTTTAATTTAAGCATTTACCACCATAGACTTCCTTCTTAGTGGTGCTGTCACTGCATACAGTAAGTTTTGCTATTTTTTGTTTTCATTTTTATCCAGATATTTTTTGAAATCCCTTGTGATTTCTTCTTTAATTCATTGGTTGTTTAAGAATGAGTTGTTTAATATCCACATTTTGTGGATTTTTCTGTTTGCCATCTGCTTTTTGTTTCTAGTTTCATTTCATTATAGTTAGAGAACATGTTTTTTATGACTTCAGTCTTCTTAAATTTGTTGATTTGTTTTGTGGCTTGACATGTGTTGTATCATGGAGAATGTTCCATGTGTGCTTGAGAAGAATGTGTTTTCTGCTATTGTTGGGTGAGTGTTCTGTATATGTCTGTTAGATCAGTTGGTCTATAGTGTTGTTCAAGTCCTGTGTTTCTTTCTTTATCTTTTGTTTGGTTCTTCTATCTATAATTAAAACTAGGGTATTGAAATCTCATACTGTTAATATGTTGCTGTCTGCTTCTCCCTTCATTTCTGTCAATGTTTGCTTCATATATTTGGGAACTTTAATGTTTGATGCATATAGATTTATAATGGTTATATCTTCCTAGTGAATTGACCATTTTATCATTATGTAATGTCCTTTGTCTCTTGTGACAATTTTTGTTGTATAATCTGTTTAGTCTGATATAATATAGCCATCCCTGCTCTCTTTAGGATCTTATTTGCATGGAATATCTTTTTCCCTTCTTTCATTTTTAGCCTATTCTTGTCCTTAGATTTGTGAATTTTAAGAGTTCCAGCTCTTTGGGTCTCTCTCATTCCTGCTCTGTATTTTTCTTCCTTTTCCCTCTTCTACTGCTTGGGCTCAGGCATCCTGTACAGAGGTGAATAGCGGGAACCCTGGGAAGCCCCCTTTTCTCCACTGTAATTTCAGACAAAATGCACCCAGTGTTTTCTGCTGATCATGATTTTGGTGAAATGTTCTTGCTTAATAAGTTTTTTTCTTCCTTTTTCCTTTTTTCCTGATTTTTAATTATTGAAGAATTTTTTCAGGTATCTACTGCTGTGATAATTTTTTTTATCTCTTTTATCGTGAAGAAGATTAGCCCTGAGCCAACATCTGATGCCAATCCTCCTCTTTTTGCTGAGGAAGATTGGCCCTGGACTAACATCCATGCCCATCTTCCTCTACTTTATATGGGGCGCCCCCACAGCATGGCTTGACAAACAGTGCATTGGTGCACGCCTGGGATCTGAACCTGCGAACCCTGGGCCACCGAAGCAGAGCACACGCACTTAACTGCTACGCCACTGGGCAGGCCCCTAATTTTTTTTTTATGTTAGTCTGTTAAATTAATGTATAACACTAATAACTTTTCTAATCTTGAATCATTGTTTTATTATGAAATGAACTCTGTTTGGCTTTTGTTAATGCCTATGTATCTGCATTTAAATGGATAAAATTGTATTTACATTTTGGAATATAGGTATTTTATAGAGATTAGAGTTTAAGTATTCTGTTTTTTTTCATATTGGTAGAATTTTTTTACTAGCCTACTATAATGGTGGCAAACTAAATTAAGAACAATTAATACATTTTTATTGTCCCAACCATGCTGAAATACACATGAATAAAAATAATAATGAAACAAATCATCCAAAAATATGTCATCAAGGGAAAACTCCTCTCATTTCATTTAATTTGCATGCTTATGTATGTACATGAGTGCATGGGTGTGCAACTCTATGGTTTTTATAAAAGACATAATCATTTCATAAGTTTTATATTTTTTACCAGTTGAAATTACATTTTAAATATATTCCATGACCTTAAATTTTTCCTACACTATCACATTAATGATTTAAAAATAGTAAGAATCATAATGTATTATGTGTAAGAATGTGTATGTATGTATGTATATAATAACTTTTTATGTAGTTTTTTGTTGCCGGCATTGAATTTATTTCACATTTCTCAGGGAGCCCTCTATGAATGTACTTTTAATGTTCTGTTACTTAACTGTTTGGTTCTTTAGGTTCGATTCTAAAGCTTGACCACCTGAGGTCTGTGCTTGCTGTGTCATTTCTTAGCTGTTTGACATGAGGCAAGTTTCTTAGAATGTCTATAACAAAGTTTTATCCTCTGTAAGATGGAAACAGATCTTTCTCTAATGAGCTATTACATTGATAACAAGTTAGTGCATGTAAAGCATTTAGAGTAATGCTTAGCATATAGGATGTGTTCAAAAATTTTTAGTCATTGCTGTTGTTATCATCACAATTTTTAGATTCTGACCTTTCTTTAAAGCCTCTGTGGACTTTGTCATCTCTGAAGACACCACTCGTGCTCTAGCTCATCTAGATATTGAATATCACTTGGTGTGTAGACCATAATATCTAACACTTCTGTATAGACAACCCAGTATTGAATTTTTATTTGTATATTTCATGTATTGTCCACAAAAATGAGAAATTCACACTGATTTGGAGTATATCTTAGTATCTTATGGAAAAGCATGAGAAATTAAAATTAGAGACATATAACTTGCTCAAAATATCTTTTACATGGATGTGTCAAAACAAACAGTTCAACCAAATTCATCTTTACACCTCTCTACTCTTCTCATTTTGTGTGAAGATAAGAAGTCTCTTCATGACCACTTTGGTGAAATGTGTTTTTCATTTCAGGGACGGTTGACGTTCAAGGATGTGGCCATCGAATTCTCTCAGGAGGAGTGGGAATACCTGGACCCTGCTCAGAGGGCCTTGTACAGGGACGTGATGTTGGAGAACTACAGCAACCTGCTCTGCCTGGGTGAGGATAACTTCCGTCTAGAAGTTGGGATCTGTCCTTGGATATCTTTCCATTTTCCTTTGTATCCCTCTTGAGAGCCCGCATCTTGATTGACTGAGGTCAAAGCCCTGGTGACTCAGAAATGAAAAGGTTCATGATGCAGCATCTGGACTTCAAACTTGCCCTTTCTTCAGGTGATCTGCCATTTCTTGAGACATCAGGGGTGGTTCCAGAGCTTAAATATGCATAAAACCTTATGACAAACTTAAAATATCCAATTCTCTGTTTTCTACTCCTGTGCTATTGATTCAGTAGTTCTCGGAAGAGAGCTAGGTATCTGCATATTATACTGTTCGGTATATTCAGAAAGAGTCAAGCAGTAGATGAGATTGTGAAATAGTTTCTGAACTGTCTGTAATGTCCTCCTCAGCTGAACAAAGAGCTGGGATTCTGGAAGCCACAGCACATCATGTTCTTTTCTTCTTATAAGCAGGAATTTCTGTTTCTGATCTGATTATTATCTCCATTTTGGAGCAAGGGAAAGAGCCCCAGACTGTGGAGAAGGAAGTGAAAATAGCAAAAAACCAAATGGGTGGGAAGGTACCAAAGGTGTGAACACAGATAAGAGCTTAGAAAAGGGAGAGAGGAAGCGCACCATTAATAGTGTTTGGGAAACTCTCCTCAAATGGGACAGTTCTATGGGAAAACAGAAGTTTATTTTTTGTGAACTCCCAAAAGAAAGTTTTCTTCCTCCCCAATTTATCACTCTGTCCTTCAACATGTAAAATTTATCCTTTCACCCTCCAGTGGTGCCGCAGCTTCAACAGAGACAAAGGCAAATCTTTATCGGGACCTACAACACTATTGTCTGGCTCTTGTGAACTCTTTGTTTCCTTGACTTTGAGGATCATGGGGTGGGCTGTTTTAAAGGCATCTCTTTCCCTCTTGGTCTCTCCTTCTGTACTTGATTCCGTCAGATGCTCAGTTCTCCGTCCATATAGATCAGAGCTGAGGCTTCCATAGGCCTAATCCCTGGAGCTATCCTGATTCCATCCCCTTTGGCTGTCCTGGGAAGACCTAATCAGAAGATGGCATAACCTTAGCTGCCCTTCCATTCCATCTGGTGCCCCAGAAACTGCATGGAGCACTCAAACCCTGTCTGTCTGTTCATATCCTCAGCCATTTCTTCTGTTGTGCTTTTGCTACATACTTCAGGGGTTTTTGTAATGGCGAGGTAGGTTGGATCTTGTGCAATTGTTACTTGGGAAAACTACAAAGACAGTAGACAGAGATCCTCTCGTTGGTCCCCAGTCCTACACGGGGAGCATTTATCAATCTCAGGCTCTTAGCTTGGCATCTGTGGGTAGAACACATGGTCCCATCTCAAGATGCTACAATATCTGATCCCATAACGTGTATTTTCACTCTCTTCCACCTCTCAACCTAGTCTGGGAGTATAGAGTCTTCCTGATTTTATATTCTTTTAAGTATGTATGATTTTGCCTCTGAAACTTGCTTTTGAAATACACATTTCTAGGGTCTGAAATGTCATCCTATTTTTTGTTGTGTTAATGCACCTTTAGGTGATGGACAACTTCTGGTGGATTCTCTCATGGAGTGGGTTTACTTGGTAACAGAAAATTCTTGAAGGAGAACACTTTGACTAATATTTTGCAATATTATCCCACTGCATACAGAAGCACCACTTGAAGCTACTCAGAGTGGTCAGCTTGCCCCTGGATACCGAGATCGCATGTATCATGAGAGCCTAAGTGATAAGTGTTTCTAGTCTTTGCAGTTTTGAGGAGTGTCACAAATGCATCTCTCAAGGGCACTGTGACAATGTTGATCACATATACTAATGATCGTCCCCTTTGAGCCACAATAAATGGTATAGGAATTTCTCCTGGGAAAACATTGTCCAAGTTCACATCCCCATTTCTCTGAGGCTGCCGACTAAACTATTATTCATGCCACATTTTCCATCCCCTGTGAATGCTATTGTTCATTCTACCTCAACAAGTACAACTTGGAAGCATCTTAGTGAGAGAGCTTATGAAGTTGCATGAGGTCTTCAGTAAAATCTACTGTAATTTTTGTTTAAGCCACTGCTACTTTCATTTTGTATATTTCTTTTTTTTTTTTGGTGAGGAAGATTCACCCTGAGGTAACATCTGTGCCAGTCCTCCTCTCTTTTTCATATGTGGGGTGCCTCCACAGCATGGCTGATGAGTGGAGTAGGTCCATGCCCGGGATCTGAACCCATGAACCTGGGCCGCCAAAGCAGAGCACATGCAACTTTAACCACCTGGCCCCAGGGCCAGCCCCTCATTTTGTATACTTCTGTGCATTATACATGAATTTAATTTTATGTATTTGACTATCAGTTCCGTGTTTTTGATGATGCTCTTAGTATTCTTTGTTTTACATTTTCAATGTGTGGAAGATTTGAATTGGGGAATAGATACTATTTCATATATTTTACATTATTTCCTTCTCTAGTGTTGAGGGTATGGCTCGGCAGCAGTTTCCCTAAATCCTACATGAAATCCAGAATATTTTGAAAAGATAGCTTTAATCATTCCTTCTGCTTCTTTTCACCTGACTTAGTACCTAATATTAAGTTGTACTTTTGTCAATTAAATTAAATATTACAGTTTTTAAATTGGGAATTTTTGGTATCTTGAGAATATATATATAATATAATTATTTTATATATATATATATATAATATTATTGTTATTGCCTCTTCCCAGAAGTACCATTAAAAGGACTTGCGATAATGTGTTATATAAGATTCATTGCTTCTTCTATAGTGTTTTCAGTTTTCTATGCATAATTTGTTCAGTTTTATGTAAATTTCACTGGGTTTTTATTTCTTGGTATAACCACTATATTCTAATAATTAGTCTCCCTGTCTAGATTCATCATATCCATGTTGGTACACTGAATTGATAGTTAAATATCTCATTGTATTTTACAGGAAACTTAGCCCATTTCTTGCACTTTATAAACTTTGTCTCCACTGTTGTCGCTAACATTTGTATTTTCTCCAGAATTTCTACAGCTCTGGATATCGCATTCTTGAGTGAACACATGACAATTGTCTTGTTCCCTGGCTTTCTTTCCATCTGAACTTCATATAGAGTGCACCTGGTTCCTGTTGTCCCACCTGGTGGTGCTGTCCTGTTCTCTGGCTCTTATTTGCTGCCTATGTTGCTCACCACCTCTCTGCACATCAACCTTCTCCATGGGTCTTCACACCACTGCCAGACAATATTTCTGCTCATAACTGCTGACACAGCTCCCTGTAATACAAGTCCTTCCCTACTGCATGTCATGTATTATTTTCAAAAGGTTACCTATGTTCTTCTGATGATATTTATGAAGTCTAATTTATTAATTTTGGATAAGTGCACATTGTTTCATTGATTCATAATAACAACTATGTATCTACTAATACATACAGTAGGAGCACCCCTGATCTCATGTCTCTTTTTTATTCTGTCAAATAACTTTCATAATATCTTAGATCATTTGAGCTTAGCAGAGTTAATATATGCCATATTTTTTTTATAATTTGAATATAGATTCAATTGATTACCATGAGTATTTAAATTCACTTGATTTCTTCCTATTTTCCCCTCTCCCCAGCTTCTGGCAAACACCATTCTTCCTTCTATTTCTATGAATTGGACTATTTTAGGTACCTCACATAAGTGGAATCTTACAGTATTTGTCTTTTTCGTGACTGGCTAATTTCACTTAGTACAATGTCTTCAAAGTTCATCCATGTTGTAGCAAATGACAGGATTTGTGTCTTTTTTTCTTTTTGGTGAGGAGGATTGTCCCTGAGCTAAGATCTGCTGCCAATCTTCCTCTTTTTGCTTGAGGAAGATTGTCCCTGAGCTAACATCTGTGCCAATCTTCCTCTATTTTGTATATGGGACGCTGCTACAGCATGGCCTGATGAGCAGTGTGTAGGTCCGTGCCCAGGATCTAAACCCACAAACCTAGGCTACTGAAGAGGAGTGTGCAAACTTAACCCCTTAATGCCACCAGGCCAGCCCTGAGGATTTGTGTCTTTTTTTAAGGCTGAATAAATTCCATAGTGTGTGTATACCACATTTTCTTTATCCATTCATCTGTTATTGGACACTTAGGTTTTTTCCATATCTTGGCTCTTCTAAATAATGCTGCAGTGAACATGAGAGTGCAGATATCCCTTCGAGATAGTCATTTTATTTTCTTTTGATATATACCCAGAAGTGGAATTGCTGGATCATATGGTAGTTCTTTTTTTAATATTTTGAGGAACCTCCATACTGTTTTCCATAGTGGCTGTACCTATTTACATTCCTACCAACAGTGCAAAAGGGTTCCTTTTTGCTATATCCTCACCAGCACTTGTTATCGCTTCTTTTTGATGATAGCCATTCTAACAGGTGTGATGTGATACCTCATTGTGGTTTTGATCTGCATATCCTAAGGGAGGAGCTGGGAATTGGGAAGCTTCCTTCTGTTCAATCTCACTGAAACATGCCAGAGAAGGAGTGAGTCAAAGGCGAGCATATTGCCATGAACTTTCCTGTACGTTTTCATTCATTGTTTTGAGGGTAGGCATTTGTTTGAGTCCTGAAGCTACTTACCTGGTTTCTAGAGTTTTCCCAAAAGATTTTTTGTTTTTATATTGTTAACTTGGTATCTCCCAGGGGTAATGAGTGCCTGGAGATTACTGGTCTGCCATCTTGCTGACATCACTCTTCATGTCTTTTTTATTGCAGAGATGTATTAAGAGATCCAGTGATACAATTTCAAGTAATTAGAGAAGCCTACCAAAAGCGATACTATTATTTTTAATAACAAAGGAGTCTTAGCCTAAAAAGTTAATATACCAAAATTGTTAAATTTCCTTTTTAAAAATATATTATGTAATTAATGTTTTAGTTAGTTAGATTCTTTTTTTCTTTTTCAACTAATGTGATCACATCCTTAAAATGCTCAGATTTTGGCAACAACTTCCTGCTAGCTTTGTTTCCCCAAACAAACTCTCTGCCCACCCAGCTAGGAGATCATGATTCTGAATCCATTGTCTCCCTACTTGGCTTACCGTTGATAAGATTTTATTGTATCTGCATGTATATGTACGGAATAAATTCATTCATCTCCTATTGTTGGCCATTTCCTGGTTTTTCTTTCCCAGTTCTACTGAGAACATTCTTGTATGTATCTCTTGGAATATCTATGTATGTTTTTCTTGAATGTATGCCTAGAAATGGAACTCATGGGAGATTCAATTTGATAAATTTCATAGCAAATATGGTAAAAAGACTTAAACCTGCTTTTTCCCTACATCATCACACTCTCTCCCTTTTTAAATCTGCCATTTTTGTTCCATACCCATAGTATAATTCCCATGGTTAAAAATGGGACGGTATTAGGGCTGGCCCTGTGGCGTAGTGGTTAAGTTTGTGTGTTCTGCTTCAGCGGCCCAGGGTTTGCAGGTTTGGATCCCAGGTGCAGGCCTACACACTGCTCATCAAGCCATGCTGTGGCAGGGTCCCACATACAAAATAGAGGAAGATGGGCACAGATGTTAGCTCAGGGACAGTCTTCCTCAAGCAAAAAGAGGAAGATTGGCAACAGATGTTAACTCAGTGCCAATCCTCCTCACCAAAAACAAAAGGGATGGTATTATGCTACTTGCTAAACTAATTCTTCTTTTCTTCCAAGGTCGGTATTTTAGTTGCCCTCCTACAGTCATATGCCCACAGATCTGCAAGCACAAGCTCTGCTCCTGCATGACCATTACTTCCTGTCCTCCACTTTTGTCCTTCCCCAGTGCTGACCTGTCCTCACATGGTATCTTGATCTGGATGGAATACACTGTTAGTTCCTAGCGTAGTAAGTTTGCACTCCTCAACTCCCCAATTTCCACAGCATTCCTTTACCCTCACCCCCCCTCCTCCACTACTAACACTGTAAAAAATGCCCCCTATTCTTCCATGGGACAACTTTGTCAGGACACAACCTAAATCAACAGGTGCAGGAGTAAGGACTCAGAAACCATTTTCCGGAGGGGGATGGCTGAGTAACTATTATAGTGACTTGGCTCAGCTCTTGTATCTCCCTTGAAGTATTTCTTTCTAAGCTCCTGATATTTGTTGTAACCTTTTGGAACCTGTACTGCCAAGATAGATAGTCATGCTTAAGAACATGTCTGAGTCTGTAGGTCCAGGTTCAAATCCTGTTTCTCTCACTACTTTCTGTGTAAATTGGGTTATGTTTGTAAACCCTGTGAGTCTACTGCCCTTATTTAAAAAATAGTGGTAATTTGCCTCAAAGCTTTTAAAACAAATTAGTGTTATTAGATGGCTTAGAATATTGCACAATTTATAGTAAAGACTCAAAAGTTACTTTTGTTTAATAAGATATATCAACTTTCTGTCATGTTTCTTAAGAGATATCCTTTTGTCTGCATTATATTTTGTGTTTTTATTTTGCAATTTGTTCTCAATGTTTTCTCTGACGTTAGTTAATAAATTTTCAAAGCATGCACTCTGTATTACATATATTTGGATCTGATGAACTGGATAATTAAAGGGCACTGCATAGACAGGGAATTGCTCTGTTGATTGGCTGTTATATAACTGTAGTCATAAAATTATAATTGGGACTTCTTACTTCTTTCTCCAATTCCTGTTTTTATAATGTTATGTATTTTCCTGAATTGATATTTCAGAACTCAGTGATCTCAACATATTTCCAATTCTCATATTGTGGGTTCTTTCTAAAATAGATCCTTTCTTTAGCCTGAAGGGGGAATGTTTAGAGTTCCACAGAGTACAATTTTGTATAATATGGTTACTTATTATTTACTGCTGGTTTTATCATGGATGACTAGAACATTGTATTTATTAATTTTTATTGTGATTTACAGATGATAGTCTTTCAGCATGTATTATGCAATATAACTGACATGCACCACTTGTTAATGTTGTAAAATGCCTATTCTTCATGGGTACACAGTTTTATAACAAATATTTAGAAAAATATTTTATTTTTTAAACATTGTTTTATTGAATTCTTCATTTTTCAATGCTGTATTTGTTTTGAAATTCTAAATTGCCATTTATTTAAATCATTCATTAGATAAGCTTGTTTTGGATTATTTACCATTACAATATATTGTCTGTTCTTCAGCAATTTTTTTGTACAATAAGTATGCACAATATAAGTATAATATAATATTTTTTTCTCCTCAGTTATGAGACAGCAATATGTTTACTGCCAATTGGTGTGTGCTTTGGGGTCATGGTGGAAAAATACCCTTTCTTTTTGAGAGTTAACATAAGTTTGCACAATATGAGTGTTTCTGTCATAGAGTGTTTGAAACTAGGCTTCCCTAAAATTAATTTGAATTATATATGATCAATCTTTCTTCAGTAAAGAGTCAATTCCTTTAGTGTTCCTAAAAATTTGAAGATAATGGTTGGGAAGTTTCATAACTGTTCTGTATAATTATTACTTTTGGTGTAATATGTTTTCAACATGAAATGTATATTTATGAACAGTAATTAATATGATATCTATGTTTCCTTATATCTTGTAGATGTCTCTCCTACATATGTGATCAAGAAATTACAACCAAAAGAGAACAGTAGTACAGGAGAAGTATTCCAAACATTGATGTTGGGAAGACATGAAAGCCAAGAAATCAAAGATTTTTACTTCAGGGAAATCCAGAAAAATATGCATGAATTTGAGTGTCAGTGGAGAAATGATGAAAGAAGTTACCAAGGAGTGCCTGTAACCTGTAAAAAAAATCTCACTAACAGAAGAGATCAACATGGTAGAAAGGATGCAGGAAACAAGCTTTTTGAGAATAGGCTTGGACTAAGCCTTCAGGATGAACTGCAGGTGTTTCAAATGGAAGGGGAAACTTATGAATGTAATCAGGTTGAGATGTCTATCAACAATAGTTTTTCAGCTTCACCACTTCAAATAATTCCTCCTAGTGTCCAAACCAATATTTCTAATAAATGTGGGAATGATTTTATGCATCCTTCAATACTGACACAAGACCAGAAAGCACACAGAGAAAAACTTTACCAATGTAATGAGTGTGGCAAAACCTTTAATCGGGGCTCACACCTTACTAGACATCAGATAATCCATACAGGAGAGAAACCATATAAATGTGATGTATGTGGCAAGGTCTTTAGTCAAAAGTCAAACCTTGCAAGTCATCAGAGAATTCATACTGGGGAGAAACCTTACAAATGTAATGAGTGTGGCAAGGTCTTTAGCCAAAATTCACACCTTGCAAATCATCGGAGGATACATACTGGAGAGAAGCCTTACAAATGTAATGAGTGTGGCAAAGCCTTTAGTGTGCGTTCAAGCCTAATGAACCATCAAGTAATCCATACTGGAGACAAACCTTACCAATGTAAAGAATGCAACAAGGGTTTTTCCCAAAGTTCCAAACTTGTAAAACATCATAGAATTCATAGTGGAGAGAAACCACGCAAATGTAATGAATGTGGTAAAGCTTTTATCCAAAGTTCAAGCCTGGTTGCCCATCAGAAAATTCATACTGGAGAGAAACCATACAAATGTAATGAATGTGGCAAAGCTTTTAGTTTGCATTCAAGCCTAACTAACCATCAGGTAATCCACACTGGAGAGAAATCTTACCAATGCAATGAATGTGGTAAGGCTTTTATCAAGCATTCACACCTTAGGCATCATGAGAGAATTCATACTGGAGAGAAGCCATATAAATGTACTGAATGTGGCAAGGCCTTTAGGCAATGGTCTGACATTAGGATTCACCAAAGAATTCATGCTGGAGAAAAACCTTTCAAATGTAATGAGTGTGGCAAAGCCTTTACCCAGGGCTCCCACCTCACTAAACACCAGATAATCCATACAGGAGAGAAACCATATAAATGTGATATATGTGGCAAGGTCTTCAGTCAAAATTCACACCTTGCAAGTCATCGGAGAATTCATACTGGGGAGAAACCATACAAATGTAATGAGTGTGGGAAAACCTTTAGTGTACGGTCAAGCCTAACTTACCATCAGGTAATCCACACTGGAGAGAAACGTTATAAATGCAATGAATGTAGCAAGACTTTTATCAGGCATTCACACCTTAGGCATCATGAGAGAATTCATACTGGAGAGAAGCCATATAAATGTACTGAATGTGGCAAGACCTTTAGGCAATGGTCTGACATTAGGATTCACCAAAGAATTCATGTTGGAGAGAAACCTTTTAAATGTTATGAGTGTGGCAAAGCTTTTACTCAGAGCTCACACCTCACTACACATCAGATAATTCATACTGGTGAGAAACTACATAAATGTGACATATGTGGCAAGGTCTTCCGTCAAAATTCACACCTTGCAAGTCATCATAGAATTCATACTGGAGAGAAACCTTACAAATGTAATGAATGTGGCAGAGTCTTCAGTCAAAATTCACACCTTGTAAACCACCAGAGAATTCATACTGGAGAAAGACCTTATAAATGTAATGAATGTGGTAAATCCTTCAGTGTATATTCAAGCCTAAGTAAACATGAGGTAATCCATACTGGTGAGAGACCTTACAAATGTAATGAATGTGGAAAGGCTTTTAGCAGGTGTTCACACCTTAGGCTTCATGAGAAAATTCATACTGGAGAGAAGCCATATAAATGTATTGAATGTGGCAAGGCATTTAGACAATGGTCTGACCTCAGGATTCACCAAAGAATTCATTCTGGAGAGAAACCTTACAAATGCCATGAGTGTGGCAAAGCCTTTACTCGGGGCTCTCACCTCACCAATCATCAGATAATCCACACTGGAGAGAACCTTACAAATGTACTGAATGTGGCAAGGTTTTTAGGTATTGCCTTAAACTCAGGGTTCACCAAATAGTTCATTCATACTTACAAATGCAATGCATATGACAAAGTTTTAAATTAGTGCTCACTGTTCAATAGATATAAGAATATATATCCTGTAGAGAAACCACACAAATGTAATGTGTGTGGTAAGGATTTTACCCAAAGGTCAAAAGTGGGGGTACATACTAGAGCAATACCTTACAAATGCAATGAGTGTGGAAAAACCTTTAGCTTGAGTTCAAGTATTGTGCAACAACAGAGAGTCCATATTGAAGAGAAACCATGTAAATGTATGTGGCAGAGGCTCTATCCAGGCCTCCCAATGCACTAGGCATCAGAATATACATCTTTAAGAGAAACCACATAAATGTAATGTGCATGCTAAGGCTTTTATTCAGAGATCAAAACTAGTACATCAGAGGATTTATACTGGAGAGCAACCTTACAAATGTAATGAGTGTTGTAAGGCTTTTCATCAAGTGTCTATACCTCTTAAGTAATGAAAGAATTCATGCAGAACAGAAACTATGCAAGTATACTGAACATGGAAATACCTTTAAGAAACTGTGTGTCCTCAGGATTCACCAAAGAATTTATATTGGGGAGAATCCTTACAAATGTAATGAATTGGTAAATGCTTTGAGCAATTCTCAGAATAGTCCATAGATCTGAGAATCAATACTAGGAATAAATAAGTCTCTAGTTCTCTGAGTTTAACCTGAGATATGACATGCTGCAGAATAATTACAAGTCAAAATATGTTAAAACTTATGACACAGTGTATATCACAGGGACAAGGACATGTGTGGAAATGGCCCATTATCTTCAGTATATAAAGTATTTTATTTAATTACTTGAGTTTTCTTGAAAAGGCTACATTTCTATTTAGGACCTTCAACCTGAAGTTTGAAGTCTGTTGATCTTATGCCTTCCATAGAGGCCTCTCACGATGTTCTCAAGGAAGGAATCAATATGATGAAAGGGTCTACTTCATTAGGTGTGGTTCATTCATATCCATGTCCCATGGAAAAATAAGGACATTGAATTGTCAAATTCAATATTGTATAAATTAGCATCAGGGAGGAGCAGAGAATAACGTAAAACTATTGTATGTCATCAGGCTTATTATGTTCAGGGTGCCCTTCTCTAGTCGTGCTACTGTGGGTCATAGGAATGAATGCTTTACCAACTAACCATGAAACAGAGTAGACCAGGACATTAGGGATTGGGCTTTTCATTGGAGGAGAATGATAGGTTACTAGGGACTGATTATGTGGTAGAAATAAAGCAGGGGAAATGGTGGTCACTTTCTCCATTGACTGGCAACAGCTGTTGTATATCAATGATTAATAAAGTTTAGTCTTGTTCTTGGAAATTAAAGAACAGTTACCTGAGAAGGGAGTTTAGTCAAAAGAACCAGAATTGTATGTGCATGTGTATGATTCACATTTAACTATTGGCATTACATTTTGCTACTGTTTTAAAAACTTCAGAATGTATCATAGATACTATGTTTTAATTAATAAAATTTAATCATTTTTTTCATAATCCTGAATGAATTATGTTCCTTCTACCAACACAGTTTCATCCCACCTTAGTAGAATACTTCATAACATAAACTAACAATGCACCATTAGGCTCTCAAGGTTGAAGGAATCTATAACAATTTCTTTCCATGATGGAATCAAATGACATGCAATTTTGACATTATATACTCTAATTTGTACTTGAGTTCTCTACACACTCTATCCCAGGGCATTATGTGGTTATAGCAGTGCAATTTCAGACTCTGATCCCCTAAAACCCGCCCCCTGTTCATGAACATGCACCATATGATTATATTTCTTCGTGTCTTTTTGTGCCCAAATAAAACCCATGGCATGGATCTTGCTTTACATGAAGTGAAAATAAAATTTAGTAAGCATATGACAAATATTAGGAAACGAAAGAAAATTTCAGAGATAAGAATAAAAATACAATCTTTTTTGTGCTTGGAGTGCTCCATGAAATAATTTAAAAAGATCAGTGTTCATGAGTTTCCTCATAAGAATGAACAATGTACAAAAGGAACTTTTTTGGTTTGATAGATAAACTGGAAATTTCATATATTCAGTCCCAAAACATTTTGTTGTTGCTAATTTGCACTTGTGGCGATCCACTGGAACAGGATGGAACCCTACCCAAAATTTGGTTTGGATATCAAGACTGATGCCACACACTAAAGTGTTATGAGAATGTTTGTTATATAATGAAGCTTTCCAGGGATAGCAGGGTAGACTAACAAGCTGGTCGAAAAATGGCTTGAAAGGACAGAGAATGGTGACCGGCTTGGTGTGTTATGGTGATTACTGGGTGGGGCTGGGGTGTGGGTACCTGCCTGTGGTTTGAACTTCCAAGGTACCAAAAGAGGGAGCACTTGGGCTTTTTTAGCAGCTTGCCCATATAGGGAGAATAGGAAGAGGTTGTAGTGAGGTTGAGAAGGTGTCAGTAGTCAAACATCAAAAAATGGAGTCAGACTCATAAAACACTGGATGTTTACTCTTGAAATTCCTGATTTCTTGGTTGGGAAACACCACAATTTTTTTCATGCTAATTATTCCATTCCTCTTCCTGCTGCACACATAGGTTCCACTGTAGTATATGGTTGTTAAAGATGCTTTAAAATACTATTCAGATAAATTGCCTAAGATATTGCTACACTAATGAAAATTAATATAATTAATATTAGGAAATGTTTACCAGATAATAAATATTACTAAACAATTTTACAAGTGGAATTTCCCAAAGGATATTAAAATGTCAATTTCAGATTATGGTATTAAGCAATGTGTTACGTGGTTCATTTTCAACTGTATTAAAATTTTTTTTTTTTTTTTTTGTGAAGAAGATCAGCCCTGAGCTAACATCCATGCTAATCCTCCTCTTTTTGCTGAGGAAGACTGGCTCTGAGCTAACA